GTAGGGGTGTGTCTGACCTCCACCTCATAGGACTCAGTCTTAAACTGATGCTGAAAGTGACTTTTCCGCCACTCCCCTGTGAAGGTAGAGGAGGTCAGATGCTGCCCACGCATCACTTTTGTGCCCTACTTTCCCACTCTGAAGAACCTTTGTTTGATTATTTCATTAGTGTCTTGGACCACCCTAGCATAACACCCATATAAATTCTGTATCATAGATGGTCTAAAGGGCACAGTGCTGTCTAGATTAGCCATTTCCAACCATTCACAAGTTCATATGCTAGCCATACTGTGATAGAGAAGTATACAAATAAAGGATTTAAAAAGGTCTTTGTGTGTCCAGCTTTTAAGTTCTTCATTTTCATATAGAGGAAGTTTCCAGAATGTTCAGTACCTCTTTTTCTGTCATCAAATAGATTCCAACTCTCAAGTCGATGTCCTATAGTGACCCTATAGGACAGAATAGAGCTGCCCCTGTGGGTTTCTGTGCTGTAAATCTTTATAGGAGAAAAGAGCCTCATCTTTCTCCTATGGAGCACTTGGTGCACTCCATCTGCTGACCTTGTGGTTAGCAGCCAGACTCTTAGCCACCCACGTCACTAGGGATCCAGATCCTTGGGAAACCACATGGTCTGCCCCCAAGTGTCCCAAGCTTCACTGCTTCTTGATGTGTCTGCTCAGTCTTCCCTCTTGCTTTCTTCTGGGAGACCAAACCTAACTGCCAACCTTTACTGCTGCTGACTTCAAATAAACGATGATTTTGATCGGATTCTCAATGAAAATTGAAGTATGAAAGTATTCCAACAGCCTCCTTCCTGTGATTAGTTACTACATTTGGCATTCCTGTATCAACTCCGGAGCTGTGAAGACTGGTTTTAGCAGGGTATGGCTCTTTAAATGCACACTATTTTCTGTTTTCTTAAAAGAAATTCTCTACATCTCCCCCAACCCCCTTCCTGGCTCAAAGCTTTAACTTATTATTAGATTCATGTACTGTGGTAAGTAAAAAATTAGTGCTATAAAATCATATACTATTTTATCAAAAATAACAACATGTGGAGCCATTGTTTCCCAATGCACCCTCCATCTAGGTATATATACTTCTGAAGGCGGTGTTCTTCTCGCTCCAACCTTTCCCAGAGAACCTGTGCTTTTTTATGTACACCATGTGGAAAAGGCAGTTGGGCATCCGCAGCGGACTCAAGTCATGACCCTTTAAAATGTTCTTTGGGTTTGGGGAATAAAAAGAAGACTGAAGGGGCAAGATTGGGGTTGTAGGTTGGATTAAGGTTTTCCCATAAATTGGGCAGTCATTGCTTCTCATGAAGAATGAGCAGGTGTATCCTCATGATGGAAAAAAAGTTACTCAACAGAACTTTCTTAGCCTTTTTCTCACAAATAGAGTTTTCCATTCTCTGAAAACTTCATGATAAGACTTCATAAAGCCATGATTATTCTGTGCCCTTCAAGAAAATCAGTCAGGTTTCCCCTTCGGAATTAAAAAAGAAAGAGAAAGAAATTCAGTTGCCATAACATTCTGAGCTGACCTCTCTGCTTTTAATTCAACTGGTCCAGTAGATAGATCCTCTTGGAAGCCACTCGATTGGACTTTTTTTTTTTTTTTAAATAAAGGAAATTGAGAGGAGGGCTGGTGATATAGTGGTTATTCATTGGGCTGCTAACCAAGAGGTCGGCAGTTTGAAACCGCCAGCCTTTCCACAGAAGGAAGATGAGGCTTTCTACTCTTGTAGAGCTTCTATCTTGGAAACTCATCTGGACCTTGCCCTGGCTCACCATGAGTCAGAATTGACTCCATGGCAGTGAGTTTGTTCTAATGAAACGAAGGCAAGTATATTACTAAGAGAGCTTGGCTGTAGCTATCTGTTCATCGCAGAGATACATTTAAATACAATTTTTTTGAAGTGGACCCATGCATACATCAATCGGAACAATTGAAACAGTGCTTTCTACCTCACCCTGCTATGTACATAGAAATGCATATGGAGTCTGACAGGTGTTAAGATACTCCCAGTTTTCACTTGTTAGCCCTCTTCACCTTACAAATTGGATGCTTCTTAATTTCCTGATTGCCAAGTCCTAGCAAGACTGGGTGCCTTATGAATATGTAGGAGAGTGATAATAAAATTACGTGCGTGTAGCAGCCCTGTGCATTCTGACACATGCTCCTGGAAGATTAGACTTCCTGCCGAGAAGAGGAAAATAGAGAATGGGACATGATTGAATCCGTTAACGTTTACTATGATTTTGGTATAAAAACCACTTCCTTCTGTCTCTTTTTAGATTCTTATAGGTCTGCACAGCTCATGTTCAGTAAATCATTCCAATCTAGACTGCTCAGCTCAGCCTTCCCCACGGTGCTAAGTGAGACCTAATTGCAGTGGATGTGGGCCGCTCCTGCAGAGGAGCTCTTATTTCATTAGCATTACAGATTGGGGTCTTGGAGCCGACTTTCCTTGGTAATTTGTTTACAGTTGAACTTTGTAGATTTTTCACAGCCTTAATCAAATAGTCTGCTAATTCTTAAGAGTCTTAGGCGGAGGGGTGGGAGGGAGAGAACTAGCCTATCAATCTACTTGTCAATAAAGACTTAGCCGTCCTGGAGCTATAATGAGATACAATGTCAGTATCAGATTTTCTCAAACCAGAATGGCTGGCATATTATACAGCTTTAGCCAGTTTAATTAAAATCAGTCTACCCGTATAACTAAAATAAACAAAAGAAACTCACTTTGTGGTTCTGGCATTATTGCTTTTTCATTTGGGCTGCTTCTCTGGCTCATTCTCAAAATTTGCTTAACTGCCATAGTTTCCCCGGTCATTAGTGATCATTAGTGCCAGGTGAATCTCTTCCTAGACGATGCACCCATTCACGCGCCACTGCTGGGCACTGTGCTGCAGCTGTTGAAATGCCATTTCCATCTGTAATTCAAACTCACTGCTGCAGAGTTGATTCCATGGGTTTCTGAAGTACAACTACTCCTTTGGGTTTCCAAAGCTGTAAATCTTTTGGGAACAGAAAGCCGCCTCTCTCTCCCATGGAGTGACTCGGGGCTTGAAAGCACAGCCTTGTGGTTAGCAACCCATGGTCCAGCCCCCTAGACCACAAAGGCTCCCTCATTTCCATAGCTACTTAAGTGCTTTTAGTGATGGCTTTCTTGTATCTCCTTTTTCCCATTGATTCTGACTTAAGATAAATATTATCTTTATTTCTTGGAAGCAGATAATATGTGACCCGGGTAAACGGCATTGAAAACTAAAGAAGAAAATTAATTTTTAAAAATGGAGCCATGGGAAGTTGTTAGTTTCTTGGGAACCATTGACAGTGTGTGAGCTCCAAAGTGACAGTTGTCACAGCTGTGAGTGTTAACACCCAGGGGCCCTCCGTGTGGTGAGGACCATCAGGCTTCTTCTTTCTCGGGGCCATTGGTGTTAGCATGACAGCTCAGAAATGCAGAACCTGAGGTGGGAAATGTTTTCTTTCGCTGCCCACCTCAGCCTCTTTTTCTAACTGGATACTGGTAGTAGGACTCACTTGGTAACTCACAAATCCGTTCAAACCACAGTGTGGCTGTGTTCAGTGATCCTCAGAACATGTCTTCAC